CAAAAAAGTTTTCTAATTGTTAAAATAAAATTCAAAAGTTTTCTCATTTTTATAGATTTATTATACACGATTGTTGTTACATACACTGCTTCTTAACTCAACATATGCTATAGACGTTTACACTTACAGACGTTTGTACGCAACGTTATACAAATGGCAGAACTAAGAAGATCTAAAAAACTATAGACTATAAAACGCGAAGTGCCGTCCATAAATTACGCAACGCTAAATTTATTTTTAAGAAAGAAGGTAGCGATTTTCATTAAACTTAATTAGCTATTTTGATTTTTTTTTAAGACTCTGCGAGGGAAAACTTTGTTTTTTTTTTGTTTTGATCGTTAGTGAAATTTAGCCCTTGGCCGAGTGGTTAGCGCGCAGAGCTTCTGAACAAAAAAGCCATGGTTTGAGTCCTACTACTTGCGACTTTTTTTTTTAATTTTTTCTCAGATTTTTTAAAATACAAAATACTGTCAAATTTATAGAGATTATACACAAACATATGTAACGGTATTATACACTTTAACAAATGAAAAGATTTTTAAACAAGCTAAAAATCATAAAAGCATAAAAAATCTGGGGGAAATTTGTTGCGTGTGTGTCATGATTGTGATACTTATGTTTTTTTAGTTTTACATTTCAAGTTTTTTTTCAACTAAGTTAAGCTCGTGCAAGGAAAATGAGTATACAACATGTTTTATATAGAACTATAAAGAGGTTTTGTTTTTCATTTCAAATTAAAAAAAAAAAATGCAAGCTGATAATTTGTACTTGCCACGCGACGATGATAATAGGGATCGTCCATAAATTACGCCCCTGGCACGTTAACTAACGAAATTTTCAAAATATATAATAGTTTTTTTAACGGAAATTATTGCTATAGATCATAATAAAGAAGAGGTTGACGCAATGCAATTTTCAAGTGAAAGTCAAACTGTAAAACTTGACATTTGTTTAAGTATGTTTTACATTACATAATTTAAGTTTACATACGTTAGATATTTGCATACACTTTCGTTCACATTTTCTGATAAAACAAAGTGCTACGACTTTTTCTTGCTATTACCTTGTTTGCAATGGCTGCCATTTATGTTTAATATATTGCGATTGAAACGACATGTTTTGAAATGATTGTGTTAGATTAATTACATTCACACTCACACCCATGTTTGAAGTTAAATATTTGAGTTTTATCTTGCTTTACTTTTGACAGCATTTGATTTAACTTTAATTAAATGTTACACAACTATAATTGTAAAATAACTATAATTGTATATTAAAATATTAATATTAAAAGATTTTATTCTACAATACAAAATAATAAGTTATAACACATTAATTAACGTTAGATGGTAGATAACGTCAGATGTAGATCTTGCTAGATAATTGGCTTCGTCAGATAAAAGGCAACGTCAGACGGTAGGTTTCGATATATGGTAGAAAAAATCATGCGGTAAAGAAGGAGTGAATGAAGAATAATAATAAGACAAAAGAGCAAGTTTATCAGTGTTTATTGAAAATGTACATATACTCCTATAAAGCTCAATCTATTACAGTATGTCAAGTGCGGTCCAGCAATCATTAATTTCAATCATTTATTTTCGCCAGCAATCATTTATTTTTGTCCTAGTGAAATCTTGTATACCCAACCTAGGCCAGCTATCCCAATGCAGATTTTTGACCAGAATAATTTTATATAACAATACTCAAACAAAATCAAAATAGTTAAATTCGAAGAACTTTTAAAAGAAACAATGTTGGCTTAGGCTTAAGTTTATAAATATCTTTCTTTCCTCCCTTTCCCCTTCCTTAATTGGAAGTTTGCACCTTAGTTAATAAGCAAGGAGGCCTAAAATTAATAAGCTAATAGTTAATAAGATAATAATAGTGCCAAAAGTTAATAAGTGAGGAGGAGTACTTTTTTACATAAAAAAAATATTTTTTATAACATTAGATGCGATATCAGTGTTTCTAATGAAGATCAAGAGATTTTAACAATTGAAACTAAAAACAAAAAATCTAAAAACGTTCTAAAAAACTGCTGTTGTCGACCTCCTACTGGAAGAACTGAACACATATTTGATAGAAAAAACTAATCAAGAAAAAATAAATATAACGTTGTAGGGGATTTCAATTTGGACTGTTTTAAGTATAATAAAAACCATAACATAAAAAAATTTTACAACGACTTTTTTGAAACGGGAACAATACCTATAATAAATAAACTTACAAAAATAACAAATCACTCATCTTTCTTAATAGATAACATTCTAACTGATAATTATTTTTTGAACAAGCTGCTTAGTAAAGGTTAAAACAGATGTCTCAGATCATTTTTTTTTTTTTTTTTTTTTTGTATAAATGCAAATTATAAATTAAATTTCCTGAGTAAAACAACTATAAAAAAGCGTGTATACAATAGCAATAATTTGAAATCTTTTAAGAAACAAATTTTGAATCAAAATTGGAGCAATGTTAACTTCAATGATGATATAAACCTAATCTAAGGTTCTTTTTGTAAAAGATTTAAATCCATCTATGACGCAAACGTGAAATAATCTTTAACGCCAAGAACGTATCATGTGCTGAATAACTAAAGGACTTAAAAAATTATCGAAAATGAAACAAAAAGCTGTATATTAAAGATCTAAAATATAAATCAGTCAATCATAAAAATAACAACTAAATTTATAAAAATAATTTTGAAAAACTCCACAAAAATGCGAAAAGAAATAACTACTCCGGCTTGTTTGCAAAGCATAAACATAACTCAAAGCGTATTTGGCAACTAATAAAAGAGGTCACGGAAAAAAAAAAGAAAAGTACAATTTCAGTACCAAATGCAATAAAAATTAAATCAAATTGTTTAATGACCCTGATAAAATTGCTTTTAAATTTAATAAATTTCTTCAATCGGAACAAGCTTATCAAATAAAACTCCTTATCTTAATGACAAATCAATTGATGAGTTTATGACATCACCTAATTTAACTTGAAATTTTTCAAACCTAACTTTTTTGCTATTTGAAGGAGCATTTAAATCATTAAAACGAAATAATTGCAACAATGGAAATGTTAAAATAGACTCCTATGACGTTTTGAAAGATATGCTCTTTAAAATTTGTAAAGCCTCTATTGCTCAAGGATCCTTTCCAGACTCTCTAAAAGTAGCAAAAATTATTCCTATTTATAAATCCGATGACCATTGTAACATTACAAATTATTGTCCACATTCTATTAAAAAAATTAGAAACCTATGAAATTAAAAATAAATCCCTAAGCTAGTTCAAAAGCTATCATAGTAATCGTAAGTAATTCGTTAATATCCAAGACTCTACTTTATTAATGAATTTGGTGTCCCACAGGGATCCATAGTTAGGCCCCTATTATTTTTAATATATATAAATGACCTTAACAACTAAAACTTTTACTGATGACACAACCTTATTCCAATCTTATGAAAACATAAATACACTTTTTGATAATATGACACAAGAATTAAATAAAACCTCATATTGGTTTAAGAAAAATAAATTGTCCCTCAATATTGATAAAACAAAATGGACGCTTTTTTATCCAATATCCAGAAAAAAATGTTTACCAAATACGATGCCCGACCTCTTCATTGATACAATACAATACTAAAAAGGGAAAACAACAAACCGAAAATACCTGCTTGAAAGTTGCTAAAAGTATTAGAATTATATCTAAAGTTCGACATATGTTAAATAAACAACAATTAAAACAACTATGTTATTCGTTTATCCACTGCTATTTAAATTATGCAAATATTAAATGGGGAAGAGCGCACAAAATTAAATAATCAGAAACACGCAACTCGCTTAATTAATTTTGCAAATCGTTTTTTGAATTTAAAACCACTTCTGAGAGAAAGCCTTGAATTTATACAAAGATGTATTCGAGAGAAGTCTTAAATGTATACGAACTAAATTTTTATAATATTTTATGTTTCATGTTTAAAAGTAAAAATCATTTATCTTCTGATCAGGGCCGGCGCGAGTAGGTGTCACATGGGAGGGGGGTGCTAATACAAGTTTTGCTGACTAAAAAAAAAAATGCCATGACGACATTTGCCGACTGATTGTCTAAATTTACCGACTAACCTATCGACAGGGTCTACATTTGCCGACTAACTAGCCTAAAAGGGTCAAATTTGCCGACTAAAAATCATTGATAAGGGGGCAACACCACCCCCCCCCCCCCACACACACACACACACCCCTATCGCGCCGGCCTTGCTCTTGATGTATTTATAAACTTTTATAATGCAAAACCTATAAACAAATACAATCTTCGTAATGGAAAAAATCTACAAAAACCTTTCTGCCGAACTAAATTTGAACAACTATTTATTTCTTATCGCGGTCCTTATTTATGAAATAAAATAGTTTTGCCAAATTTTGATTTGTCTTTGAAATGGACTTTGACTTTTTTTCTGAAAAATTTTTTTTTGTTTTTAGTTCTTTTGTTTCATATATTTCATATAATTTATCCAGTATATTTATATTTTAAACGCGCAGTTATATATAGTTTATGTTGATTTATTTTTATTGGTTAATTTAATTTTATTGTTATTATTATTATATTTGATATTGTAAATGACTTCATGATAAGATCGTATGATCTTCTGGAAGTCCTGTCGATTATATTTGTAATTCCTCACTCCTCCTTTCCCTCGTTTTTTTATCCTTATTATTTTTTTATAGCTCAAACTTTTTTGAGATGCCTAGGTATTTTTTAAATAATCAAAAAATATATATATATCATTATATTATAGTTAGATATCTGTAAAAGAATGATATTATTATAATAATTATCAGATAACAAAAAATTGTAAAAAATATATACTGATCAATTATATATTGTTAAAAATTGTAATTTTTAAGAGCATAATAAATAAAAAGTCACTATCACTTTTCAATAGCTATATTATTATAAAATATTAGATTGCCAACTTCATTGTGGATAACAAACCTCATTACCTCATCACAAGTAACACATTCAAAGCTCTGTATACCCGTCTGTTCAGAATATTTGTTTATCCAATCACGGACGATTGCTTGCGATTCTGCGCAAAGATATAAACGACAAAGGTTCATATCCCAACGTATGACGTTTTGATATTTATCTGGCCAATAGGGATGTTCACATATAACTGGAATGTTTGTAACTTTTAGCGGAAATATTTCTTGAAAATGAAAGTAGATAAATTTCAAAAATTTAATAAACAAAAACAGTTTATTTAAAATTCTAATTAGGCAATAAAAAAAAATTACGAGTTTAATATAAATTAATAAAATTATTTTTTTTTGATTCATTTTTTTTTTTATTTATAAAATATTTATATTTATAAAGTTGAAAAATAATCATTTGACTAAAAAACGTATTTTGTTTAACGGTCAGTTAGCGCCACACTATGGTGCGTAAGTCCGTCCTCGCCTTTCCTTTCTACCTACCAGTGACGGATTCAGCATAAAATTTGTAACCGCCTCAAACGCTGAAAGATAATACTATGAAACTTAAAATTTATCAATGAATATAAGTCTAGTTGAGAATAGTACAAAATATATTTTATCAACCCATTGCCCCATGTTTAGTGAATGTGGGTGGGGGGTGGGGGGGTGTTGTATGAAATTTTAGGGTATTTTTTTTGTTCCCAGCCTCCAATCATCGCAATTTTTTGCAAGCATCATTATTTGACATAAAGTATAAAGATACAAGTTTTTAGAGTTTACTCTATGTCTGGAAATCAGCTTATACAAAAATCTCAAATAGCAAAAAATAATGGATTCGTCACTGTACCTCCTCCTCTTTCTTACCTAATAGATTGAATTTGCCCCTGTACTCTGCTATTGTTTTTCTATTTAAAGTTATTTTTATGTTTATTAATATAAAATTAATTAACATTAATATAACTTTAAAAAAAATTTTTAATCCACCTACGGGCATTTGTTTTTAAAAGTTACGTTCTAAATGTCTTTTAAACGTCTTTTAAACGTTCATTACCTGAGAATGTTTAGAAGACGTTCAAAAGACATTTAAAATACATTTAGAACGTAACTTTTAAAAACAGATGCTCACTGGGCAAGATCATTATAGTATAAACTAATATAAACACCTTAAGTAAACACTCGAGCGTTTTCTTTAAGTTAGTTTACACTATGATGATCTCAATAATGTCATATGTACCATATAAACTAATCCAAAGGAAACATCTGATAATGGCATTAATATATAATAATAAATAAAAGCAATACTTTTTATAAAAAAAAAACAATTAACGAAACTAATTTTACAGTTAATGGACTCGTATAAGGTAGTGTGGGGTTAGTTGAGCATTTTTTACTAATTTAACCAATCTTATAAATGCGTATAGTTTTCTTCACTATTGAAAAGAAACTAAAAATTAGTTAAAAAAGTATATTTTTTGATTTGTTTGAAAAGATATAGCCGATAGTTTACCGCGCTGCTCAGCCTTCCCCAACGGGGTGAGTTGAGCAACTGTGCGGGGCAAGTTGAGCAATCAGTGAATAAGTGAATATGCATGATATGGAACTTGGATAAATCATCAATAAAAAAATCTTTAACAGTAAGTCTATAATTTATAAATGTTTTTTTTTTCGACAGTTTAATGACATAAGTGAAAAAGTTAATTAGTAAGAAAGTATCATAAAATATAAAATATATTTTTTTTAAATATATTTCGTTGTTTATATAAAAATAAAATAATAAAATTACAAAGAAACTTTTACGTTACACAAAGAATATATATAAAACAGACAGGGGCTCAAAGAAGATAAGGATGACTGGTGTCACCACAATCTTTTCATAGAGACCCTTTACAATATTATTTAAAGCCCATATGGCTTTACAAAATTTATAAAATATATTATAAAATATTTTACCTGTTATATACTACGTGAACAATAAAGAAAAACTCATATTTACATATATACTCATATATACATATACTCATAAAAACACACACATACACAAACATACTTACATATATGTCAGAAAGTAAGGAGATGCAGTTTCATTTGTCGTTTAAAAGAGAAAGTGCTTTTCAAATTTTTTATATTGTTTTTTTTTTAATTGATTCCATAATGACGAACCTTGGCATTTTTTATACAATTATCTTGAACTTTGATTTAAAAACTTTTGAAGCCTGATTTAAAAATTACTTTAAAACTACAAACGGTAAATCAGCCTAATTTTGGTCAACATTTAAAAATTTTAATTTTTTTCAATGGAAAGCATTTTTGCTCAGTTTTTTTCATTTTTGTTCAGTTTTTTTCAATAGATAAAAAAAAAACATTGTTTTCTATAAGATATGTATAAAAAAAAAATGAGGTTTATATAATATCTATTTCCTAAAATTAATTTCACGAGAAACATTTTTGACCGGATTTATATATTTTTAAACTAAAGTAGGTCACTGTTATAATCAATGAAAAAACAATAAAAATGAAGAAAACCAATTTATATTTTTAAACTAATAAAAAAAAAAAAATATCTATCTATTACTCATTATTGTAACCGCCAAGTCTACACTTTTTTAGTGCAGAAAAACTCAGTGTTTTGTTGATATCGTTTTACAGTTAATATCTGGTTGCAAAACTACAATTGATCCAAAAAGTTTTCACATTGAACCATTGAATAATGGAAACATGCTTTGTAAGTTTTACATTGAAGTATTTTTTGTTGTTTATTTAGTATGCTTGCATAGCCTACATAGTCTATCTTACATTTTGTAACCTTTTTTAACTTTATTCTTCATCAATTGCTCCAACTTTCTCAATTGTATTGGCTTCAGTTAAAGCTTCTCCTTCAATTCTTACATTGTTTCTTTTAGATTTGTGAATATCTTTATCAGAGTTATAAATTTGTTGCAGAAGTGTTTTCATTGCAAATTCTAAACCAAGTTTAATTGAATTGTGTGTAATATTCGAACCAATTTTACTTGAAATATATAAACTAACTTTATATATAAATATAAAAAGTATTTTATATATAATATTGTAATATTATAAATTTTATATATAATATATAAAATATAATATATGTAAATTTATTTACATATATAAAAATTTAAATATAAATATATTTTATATATATAATTATATAAACCAATTTTAATTGAAATGTGTGTTTTATAACATTTAATAGAAACATTTGACATTGGTGATGAAGATTTTGATAAACGCTGTGCAGTAGATGATATATTCAATGCTGATTGTGATGCTAGTCCTTCTTCTGGATCTTCAAATGTTGCTGTTATTTTCAATTTTGATAGGTCAATATTAGGTTTATTAAAAAAAAATAACCCTTTTTTTTGAACGCACTGACTGCATGTGTTCTAGGAAGTACTTGCTACTTTCATATAATGCTTTTAATAAACTTGGAAAATTAGCTTTATTAACATTTTTGTATTTTGATAATTCATAATATGATTTTAATACGTTTTTCCAAGTAAGTTTTACTTGACAATATATTCCAACGTTCAGTGCAGAATATGACTAAAATTAGCTGGTAGGTAGACCAATCAGACGTTGTTTTCTTTACATATTTTTATAACTTTTAATGACACATGAGTACTGTGACCATCTAATAAAGAATGTGTTCTCCGTCAATCGCTTTAACTGCTGGAATGAATAGCCGTTCCAACTACTTAATAAATTACAACTTTTCTATCTATCCTAAATCTGATCTTGTATACACTGTCCCAGTTTGACTATATTTGCACCATAATTGATATAAGTAACTTTTTGATTTATAAACAGCGAGAGGAGGTAGGTAGAAGCCTGAAGCATTGACGCAGTTGTTTACGGCATAATTAATTTTTTAATTGTCTCTTATAAGCTTGAAAATGCGCTTTGTACCTTTTCGTTTAAAAACTGAAAATTTTCCTTTGTCGTCACTAAAACCACACAGTTCCAATCGCAGTTCCAAATATGTGAAGCTTTTAAGCTATAAATTTTGGCTTCATTATATTGTTTCTTGTAATTATTAAAATATTTTTCAATCATATTAAAAGAGCAAAATGACTCCCTGTTTGAATGCAATATTATCTGCTCTGCACAATGATGTAGTTGTTGTTTGTTATTTTGTTGATGGTGATGGGTTTTTATTTTTTATATCAGTTTGTAGGAGTATTAGCATATTAAAAGAGAGAAATGGCGTTCTTTTTATAGAATTAGATGGGAGTTTTATTGTAAATCATTATTTTATTCATTACTGGCAAAAGTAAATAAAGAACTAAACACTTATTTTATTCATTACTGACAGAAGTAATTAAAGAACATTTATTGGTTACATCTTGCTTTATTGCAAGAAGTAACCAATAAATGTTAAAACTCGATTATTAGTTTTTAAATAAGTTAATAACTTTTTAACTTTTTTAGTTTTTATCAGATAACTTCCATATTTTACAACATAATAAAATAAAAATGTTACCATTAGGTTCAGAACAAAAACTGTATTTAAAAAAGATTTTTGAACTAGCTTATTTTTTTAAATTTAGAAAGTTTTAAATCAGTAAACATGGTTTTTTCAAATTAATGCACCAAATACCTCTTTTAAAAACTTTATAAAAATTTTTTTTTTACATGTTTTACTAGGTGTAGTCATTCTCATCAAAGCAGTTTTTTTTTGAGTGCTCGATAGTTCAGTTGTTTTCAAATTTGCTCAATATACCCAAAACTACCTAAAAAAAAGTCTTGTGAAACAAAAAGTTATTGAACTGCCGTTTAACAACTTTTTATTGCACATTGTGTTACCATTCTAATTCCCTAACTTTCATCAATTAGATGTTTTGTCATGTCATAGTTTTCGACATATTTTTATTGTCCAACTTGTCTCTTTGATCAACTAGCCCCGCTCTACCCTAAATTTAACTCAGTGGGTATAGGACCTTAAAAAGACGTTTTTTGAACGTTCAAAACGTTTAAAAAATGTTTAAAAGACGTTTAAAAGACGGTTTTTTTATGTCATGCGCCTGCTGGGAAAAATAAATTATGATAGAAAACTAAAATAAAATAAATATGTAGTAAACTTATTTTATTTATCTTTCTATTAACAAATTTGAATCTACTTCCCATTACATCAAAAATTGAAATTAACTTGCATGTACGATCTTTTAATGAAATATTTGTCAGCTCTATGTCTTTTATCAACAAAACATCAAAAACAGTAGATATCTATTTTTAAGTATTAATTAGTAAGTAGTACCTATTTACTATATAAAAATTAGTAAATACTATACAAAATACTATATAAAATACTATACAAAATACTATATAAAAACTAGTAAGTACCTATTTTTAAGTTTATTCATTTGAAAAGTTGAATCAAAGTGTTCAATTTCAAGACCTGCAAAGTGTTCAATTTCAAGACCTGCAGTGGAGCTCACTTATAATAGGAATGGATATATATAAAAGATAATGCATAAAAGATAGTTGGCAATTAGTTTTTATAAAAAATAAAATACTTTTTTATTATGAAACTTGATATTTGAAGGAAGCTTTTGCAAACAAAAATGTACTTTTTTGCAAAATTGTTTATAATATTTATATAAATAATCATACTTAAATTTTTTTTTTTAATTTTAATATTTATGTTACATTTAATTGAAAATTTTTAAATAAATAAAATAAAAGGTTAAACAAATTATAAAAGGAAAACGTTACGAAAACGTTTAGGAAATATTAACAATATTTTAATATGGTACAAAAATAATGGAAATATAAACCAAACAAAAAAAATATATAGAAACGAGAATATAGCGAATGGGGCAACATGAAGAATGTGATGGCATAATAACACAAGAATGCGCAACTTTTTTTTTTATGCTAAAAATGATGCTAATAATAAGTGGTATTGCACTGGTAAAACATTTTTAGGATTGTTTTTTGTTTGTTTTTTTTCATTATTGCAATAATCGCTTACTTTTGATAAAGTAAAAAGTAGTTTTTGAAAAGTTAGACAGAAAAATAAATTTTAAAAAATATCTTTTTAAAAAATTTAATTGTGTACAGAAAACTAAAATTTTTTAAAATTTTTACAAAAGTAATGTCGATTGGGATCTTATTCTAGAGTTGCAAAAAGTTAATAATACATGTGATTTATTTCTTAAGCAGTTTTGAAAATTATTTGAAATAGCATTTTCTGAAAAATAATCTGTCATAAAAAAGTCTCTTATCTTTTTGTGGTTATTAAGGTGCTTCCAGAAGTCCTTATGGTTTTATCACAGACCACTTCACATTCCTTATGGTCTTATCACAGACCACCTCAAAAAACATTTAACTAAGAAGTTTATGCCTCCTTTTTTACCAATGTCGCTTAACGAGCTAGAGCCGGCATCGAATATGGTAAATTTACTGGTGTGCTAGCGTATGCTGATGATATTGTACTTTTAAGCTCAACTCTATCTGGTCTGGAAAAATTAATCAAAATTTTTAATGTATACTGCAATTCAAATTGTATAAAACTAACCCCTGATAAAACAGAGTTCTTTCTGACAGGTAAAAGACAGTTACAAAGTTGCTCAATCTCTCCCAATGGTAATCAAATAAAGTTACATAATAGACTAAAACACTTAGGGTTTACATGGGATACGGAGCATCTACGTTTGCCTCACTTGATCGGGTAAACATTGCTGAAAAAATATCTAATTTTAGGGCAGCTTTTCAAACTCTTATTCAATCTGGAATCCGTTTTGCTTATCCAAAATCCATCACACAATTATATCAAACCTTGATAGTACCAACATTAACTTACAGTCTGGAACTTTGTAAAACCAATGACGTAACTATGCAAAACCTAGACAGAATCGGAAGGAGCGCATTATAATCGTTTTTCAACCTTTTAAAACATTGCAAAATTTATTTACACCCGTTATTTAAAATTCAAGACATATCAAAATGTATTCACCAAAATAAACTGAACTTATTTATTCGTCTTTTGGATAACAAATCGGCAAATGTTATTATTCAATCTCAGCTAAAAAATCTGACGAAAAAATAATCTTTTGTAGATGATGTCCATCTGGTGTGCCATATTAGTGGACTAAGTTTTGAAAAATTAAAGAATGAAAAAATAGAATACGTTTTGCGGTGGCGGGGAATAAAATCCCAAAAGATATTGAGAAAAAATTGAATTACTCATTAGATTGGTGGAACATTTTTGTGTGTACTTTTATCTTGTAAAAATACTTACTGTAGGTGGTTAAGAAAATAATAATATAAAAGATAGAAGTTTAAAATGTTCTTAAACAAAATTTAGCAAGCGCTGTCGACTCCACTGATCTCTATAATAACTATAATAAGTTATTATAGAGATCAGCGTAAAAACATGTAATTTGGTTACCGAGGATTGTGGGACGCCCTGGTATAACATTTACAAACAAACAAATAAGTTGTTTTGAATATCCAAATGCTGACAGTAACTGATTGCTCTTGATTTATTTTGTAAACAATTTATATAATTAATCTTCTTTTTTTATACTATTTTGAAATTATTTTAAAAAATTCCCGATTAGAATTATAGTTTTCTTATATAACATTTTTCAAATGAGCAGCAACATTACAGTGTAATATTAAATATGTCATGTCTTAATAAAACTTATCGGTTCATAATAAGTCAATTTGAAAATCTTCAAATGAAACTTGATAAAATAATTTGCTATGTAATAATTACATAGCAAATTATCATTATCAATTCAAGTTTAAACACACGCACTCATGTATGCATATATATATATATATATATATATATATATATATATATATATATATATATATATATATATATATATATATATATATATATATATATATATATATATATATATATATATATATATATATATATATATATATATATATATTTATATATATATATATATATATATATATATATATATATATATATATATATATATATATATATATATGTATATATATATATATATATATATATATATATATATATATATATATATGTATGTTGCATACATACATAATGTATGTTTGAATGTATGTATGTATCTACATACATACATACATACATAAATACATACATAAATACATACATACATACATACATACACACATACATACATACATACATAGGGGAGATGGGGGCGCATTGATCGCTGGGGTAGTATGATCTTTTAGCTTTTACTCGTTTACTTTTGCCTTAGTTTAACAGAGATTGCAATTTAAATAACCATTATACTACCCTTCATTGCTTAATCGTAATAATTTTTGATAAGATCAACTTCAGCGTTAAGAAAATTGAAAAGACTGTTTTTCATCATGAAAAGTGATTTTTGAAAGTTGTAAACAAATTCAAATAAATTTTTAATTAGATTTTCGTATGACTTTACAACCAATTTATTGTAAACTCATATTTGTTAAGTTTATAATAAATTTGTTTTTTTGAGTTGGTTACTGTATTTATAGAAGTTATTGGCATCAATATATCAACTGTACCTAATGGGGCACATTGATCGTTGACTATGCGGGGCTCATTGATCGGAGGATCAAAATACCCCATATAACTTATATTATAAGACTTAAATTTTTTGTTTAAGTTTTATACATTTAAACTTATGATGAATAAAAAATCTTTATATAAACTTTTAAAATTTCATTTTTAAAATGTAATAGTGTTAAAAACTAGCATTAATAACATTAGTTTTTAATTTTACAATTAGTTTACATAATATTATTATATAAATTTTTTTTTTTAAACAATTATTTTATTTTACTTTTTTTTAAATTTTCAGATCTTTAAATGGGTAGGTATAGAAAAAAAACAAACAGACAGAGTTGCTATATCATGTGATACAATGAAATCAGCTGTTGATGAAGTTTTAGAGGGCAGACCAGTGAATGTTGTAGCTTGCAAGTTTAGCATAAATCGAATGACCTTAAAAAGATATTGTAATAAAAAGAAGCTCAACCCAAATGAATCTTTTAAGCCTAATTACAACAATAAACCAGTTTTTACTGCAGAAGATGAAAAAAGTTTGTTAAGTTATTTACTACTTGTATCAAAAATGAACTATGGACTTTCAACTTTCAACAAGTCAACACGATTATTGGCATACGAGTTTGCTGTAAAAAATTATAAGATTTGCCCTTTATCATGGATCAAGAATAAAATTGAAGGGATTGATTGATTGCAAGGTTTTATGAAAAGACAACCAGAGTTGTCTTTACGAACACCTGAAGCAACTAGCTTTGCTCGATCAACTGCCTTTAGCCGACACACTGTTGGAGAATTTTTCCAAAATCTAAAAACAGTAAGAAATCGATATAAGTTCGATCCTTATTGCATATATAATGTTGATGAAACAGGTTTAACAACAGTACAAAAGCCAGTAAAAGCGTTAGCAGGTAAAGGAAGTAAACAAGTAGGAAGAATCACATCTGCAGAACAAGGAACATTAGTAACTGTATGTTGTGCTTCAAATGCAAGTGGAAACTCTATTCCTCCACTATTTGTTTTTCCTAGGGTCAAATTTCATGATTACATGATAAAGGAAGGTCCTCCTGAATGCGTGGGATTTGCAAATCCTTCTGGTTGGATGAATTCAGACATTTTTATAGAATGGATAAAACGTTTTGTGAGGTATTCAAACTGTTCTCATGAATCTCCAGTTTTGTTACTTCTGGACAGCCATAAAAGTCATATTTCTGTTATAGCTTTGGATCTTGCAATTAAACATGGAATTACAATGCTAAGTTTTCCTCCCCATTGTACCCATAAATTGCAACCATTGGATAGAACTGTTTTTGGACCATTGAAAAGGTTTTACAATTCTGCATATGATAATTGGATGGTCACAAATCCAAGACCTATGACCATTTATGATATTGTTTCAATAGTTCGCGAACCATATACAAAAGCTTTCTCACCATCTAATATACGGAGAGGATTTCAAGTAGCTGGCATTGAGCTATTTAATCCAGAAATTATTAAAGATGATGAATATTTACCATCATCAGTTACAGATCGTGCTGCTCCAAATGTAGTAAACACAATTCTTGTGGAACCTGAAATGACTGTAGCACATGTTGATGGCATGGAGCCTGAAATGCCTGTAGTACATGATGAAACAAGTTTTTCGAACAAAGTGTCACCAAGCATTGCTTCATTACTCTCATCTGAAGTTTTGAAACCTTACCCAAAAGCATTTGCTAGAAAAAGAAGTGTTAAAAGTAGGCAATTAAAAACAAGGATTTTGACTGATACTCCAATCAGAAATGAAATTCGTTTGTCAGAAGAAAAGAAAACCCTAAAACAAATCAACCAACAAAAGAAACTCATCGCAAAAGATAAAAAAAGGGGAAAAGTTAAAAACTACTTGCTTAGGAACAAAAAACAACGTAACGTAAAAGCAGCATCACGACTTGACTTTGACAAAGGATGATAATATAAAAAAATAATCTTGTAAACTTTAGTTCTAGTAAAAGTCTTGTATGAATCTTGTATTTTCTTTGTCAACTTAAAATACTGTATTCTTATAGACTTTATAAGCTTCAAGTTTTGTAAAACTTAACACATATATATGTTAGTAGTATATAACGAGCTTATTTTCATAGATATAATTGTGGTTATTCTTCTAATGTAAACTTTATACACTGGTGTGTATTAGGTTGTAATATGTATATATGGTTGTAATGATATATATATATATATATATATATATATATATATATATATATATATATATATATATATATATATATATATATATATGTTTTAAATTTTACTTTTTTTTTTAGATGTTTTATATAATATACACTAATACCCTTCAACTAATGCATTTGTAGCACTTAGGTATAGCATTATTAAACATGTAGATAATGTTACTCATATAAGATCAAAGCGCCCAATATCGGAGATCATAGTACCCCATTGCATGAGGTACATTGATCTTTTGCAAGGGTTGTTGTAATGTTGAAATGTACCATGTTCATTAATGTTTTTTATTTAAACATTTATTTTTACTTAAAGACAGATTGTTCTAGTTTAGTTTAGTAATTAATAAGTTTTTATATCTAGATCGGGTTGTTTGCAGTTTTCAAAATACTACAACGGCGATCAATGCGCCCCCATCTCCCCTACATACGTACATACATACATACATACATACATACATACATACATACATACATACATACATACATACATACTATGTATGTATGTTCGTATATATGTATGTATGTATGTATATACACACACATTAACTTATAAAATTAAAATTGATTGTTAAAAAAAATCATAAAGGCATTATTTAATAATTATCAATATTGAAATTTTTTTTATTTCCTTAACATAGATCATGTACAGCCGAATAAAAGAAAAAGTTCTTGTTCTGACAAGTATGCAAACTTTTTTTTTATTGTAATTAAAAAGCATGTTAAAAACAATTTTTGAATAAAATGTCAAAAGTTCTGAGTTCCATGATTTTAAATAACATCTAAAAGCTAGGTTCTTAGTATGAAGCTACTTTTTAATAAATTCCATGAATAATGTTTAATAGAATATGGCAAATCAATGATATTAATAAAAATTTTGGTAAATAATTTGGGCGGTTTGTTTTCTTATTGGTCTCTAAACCATGCCTAATATCCATTGCTTCAAAAAGTATTACAACACACTGTTGACACAGTCAGACACCTTTTTTAACAAGCTAGCAAAATCTGCATGCTTTTTGAAATAGTTTTCTTTATAAAAATTGTAACAGTAAACCTGTGGAATTGATAATTTTTTTTGTCAGCAAAAAAAAAACAACCTTGTTTGGTTAGTTTTTTTAGTGTAAATGTTTAAATAAAGCATTTATATGCAGTACAATGCTAAAATCAATTTTTTTAAGACAACTGTTTTTTAAGCTACTATTTTAAAGAATATTATTTTTATCAACAAATTGGTTGGTCAATAAGAAGTCAGTATAACAGTTGATAGTAATATTTAATTCCAAAAATGCTCCAAGAATTTTGGTGCAAAATGGATAGAATTGCATTTACGTCTTTATCTTATGCCGTGTCTGAACCCAGGAAAAAAAGTTCAATAGAATTTTCTATAAACTTTTGAAAGATATGGCCTATAGAAATTCTATAGAATTTCTATAGAATGTCTATTAATTTCTATAGAAATTGCTATAAAATTTTTTTTTCATAAAACAAAAAGTAGAAAAAAAAATTTCAATAGGAATTTTTATAGAAGTTAACAGAAACTCTATAGAAATTTTATAGAATTCTATAGAATTTCTGTAGGCCATATGTTCCAAAAGTACATATAAATTTCTATAGAACTTTTTTTCCTGGGAATGCGATGCCATGAGGCTATATTTAGAACTTAAGTATTATAGAAATGGCATTATGGAGAAGGCATTTTCCCTCAGTGTTTGTTAAATAAAAAACTAACTATCAAAATGATTGATGCAAAAAAAAAAATCATTGTTTAGAATTTCAATAAGTTTTCTATCAAGATCTCCTCTAGCACCTATAGAAATAAGTAGTGAGTTAATCATTAAAATTACTTGATAATTTTCATTAGCAATTCCACACGTTTTTGCGCAGTTAGTTGCAGCACAATATGAAGGTATTTCTGAACAACGAAGAGTATTATTTATTATAGAATAACGCAATATAAAACAGAGATTTTGCAGAGTTTTAGCCAAGTTTGTTGTTGTGAACTTATTTCTATACTACCAGAACATCCCACAATGCCTTGCGCGTACGATTACACTTTAAAGTATGTAAATATAAGAGTCGACAGCACTTGATATGTAGAGTCAGTTTATTGTTATTTTTTTGTTGTGCTTTTTGAACAACTAATAACAAATTTCTAGAATTTAATTTACAAACGTCTAGATTAGAATTGGTAGAATTTTTGCCGGATTTACCTGAATAAATTTTATACCTTTATATTTAGAATATAGCTATTTGCTTTTAAATCCAGCAAAAGTACTACAACACAAAATTAAAGCCTGGAGGGATTTAATAAGTACTTGGCCGAAAGAACATTTTTAACAAATGTAACAAACCTAGAGCTGAACAGGCAAGAAAAAAAAAAGGTTCAAACAGGTAGTAAAGATTGTCTAAAATTTTGATATTTATACTTTTAATTGAGGTATGCAAGAAACAATTACTTCACTTTAATCGTGATTTTTGTTATAATTAACTTTTTAATTGATCGAATAGTTGTTAAAAATCTATCCAATAAACTTTTAAGAGATTCATCCGATTCGATTACAGCTTTTAAAGCTTACAAATTGCATTTCAAAATTTTTTTTTTTTTTTTGCGAAAGCGCTATTTTGAGTTGCCACTGAAATAATTATACAACAAAGATTATACAAATAATTATACTACAAAGATCGGGTTTGAAATCATTTTCGGCTTCGTTCTTCTTTCAGTTATTATATCTCTTTGGAAAAAACCAAAAAAACTTCTGATTAATAGAAAATTAGCCTATGAAAAATCTTTTATTGCAGAAAAACTTGACAGCTTCTTTGTTAATATTGGGCCAAACGTAGCTGAAACAATTCTATTGAGCTCATCATCCTTATTTAAAAAGATTCGATACTCATATAGAAAAAACTTATCATAAAATTTGAAATTGCAAAATGCCTTAAAAAAATAAAAGCGCAGGTTTCGATAAGATTAGTGTCAATGTTGTAAAATTTGTATTTGATGTCATTAAATCATCGTTGTTTCATATCTTTAAATTTTCTTTAAAACTGGATATTGTTCCTGCTAATTTAAAAATTGCCCGAATTACACCATTTTTTAAAGGAGGAGATGACTCCAATATTTCAAATTACGGACCAATTTCTATCTTGCTTTGTTTCCCTAAAATACTTGAGCATATAATGTACGATAAATATGATTATTTAAAAAAGAATGACAAAGAACGGCTGTATAGAAAATGGTTTGGTTTCAAAATATGGCAATCAACCGGACACACAGTAGTTGAGATAATCAACGAAATATCTGACGCTCTAAACAACGATTACATTAGGAGTTTTCATTGATCTGTCTAAAACCTTTGATACACTAAACCATGATACACTGCTAATAAAACTTGAAAACTACGGAATTAAAAAAAATTTTTTTTTTGGTATAAAGACTACTTAACAAACAGAAGTTAATTAAGAAAAAAAAAAGTCGATAGAATTGCGTTTTTTAAGTTTTAAAAAAAAAACTGATTACTTCCCGCAATTAGTGGCGTAGCGAGGAATTTTGCGCCCGGGGGCAAAAATAAATATTGCGACCAATTAGAGAGTTTTTCTTTTATGTTTTAGATCTATTGCCAGTAAATCTTATGTTTTGCATTAATATATAATATATGCTAAAAATATATGTATTTTTACACAGTTAATATATATATATATATATATATATATATATATATATATATATATATATATATATATATATATATATATATATATATATATATATATATATATATATATATATATATATATATATATATATATATATATATATATATATGTATAAATAAAATACGAGTCTTTGTATATCTATTCCACACCGAACTTTTCTATACTTTTTCCTTATATATCCTAGCTTTCCGGATCCGTAAAATACAGGTCTTTACCAATTTACATATCTATTTCTACCCGAAAATTCCTATACCTATTCCTTATTTACTTCAATATTTTTTAGTAAAATAACTTATTCTGTAAAAAAAATTTAAGAGCAAAAAACTCAACATGCGTACCTTTTCTGCATGCGTAGAGCTTATAAGAGGCTTATTATTAGGTTTGTTTTTCTGCTAAATGCATTTCATTGATAGCGCAGTTGTTAAATGCGCTGTCATCAGTGTTATTTTGGAGGGTTTAAGACCTCCTCTCAGCGTAATAAATTTTGAAATTTTTTCAATCTTGCTTATATATTCACAGAAAAAAAATAAGAATATAGAAAAAAAGATTTCTAAAATTTAAATACCGTAACACCGGGGTTTATTTATTAATTACTTTGGCCATTTTTAAAAAGTTTAATTAAACATCTGTAACTTTTAAACAGTAAAGTAACGTTTTACTATTGAAATAGTAAAATGTTGCTGTAAAATAACTTAACTGCATTTCTTCCAATTTATCAAGTCTTTGCATTGTTAACTCTCTATTCTCACAGACGATGCGTTAACATTGTTAACTCTCTATTCTCACAGACGATGCGTTAGCGTTGGAACTGCTCAAGATTCATATAATTGGATATTTAAAGATGGATGTGCAAATCGGATACCAGACTGAATCAGAGTTTGTACTGTTGTTTTGGAAATTTGATACCCTATTGTGAATATTTGATCTATTTAGTGAGGCAAAATTGGATTTTTCTGTATCCCACATGAAGTCCAGATGATTAAGTTTTTCATTTGGTATTATTTGATGGTCTGCAAGTTTATCTTGTAATTAGTTTCTTGTCGTTTTGCGGAGAGAAAAAGTTCCGTTTTGACAGCATTGAGTTTTATTCCGTTTAAGTTATTGTAATCATTACACATTGTTATAAGCCTTTCAAGACCAGATAGAGCAGAGTTAAGCAGAGCGATGTCATCAGCATAAGCAACAACACCTGTGAATTTTTCATGTATAGAAGTAGCAACAAAATTATCATTACCGTAATTTTTGAATGTATATGTTTAATTCATTTACAGTAATTTTTGGGTGTATATGTTATACAAGTGGGGCGACAAAATCGACCCTTGCCTTACAACTTAAGAGAAAATGAAACTGAATTGGAGCCAAGGTAAAAGTCAATTGCACTACTGTTGTGATATAAAGAAGATACAGTGTTAACTGTTTAGAGAGGTAGGTTATTATCAAAGTAAAGTTTATCAAAGAGAAGATTCCAGTTACAACTGTAAAAATCTTTTACAGCATCTAGCGAACATATGTAAATGTGCGAATTGTTGATGGAAATACGGAAATGCAGAAATACAAACTTTTTTATGCAGAAATATAAATTAAAGTAAGAAAATATGAAAATAAAATAAGAAACTAAATAAATAAATAAAATATGACTTAAGCGCAAATAATATATGAAAATATTTATATTTACATTAAAAAATATATATTATTGTATGAAAATATTAATATTAAAAAAGTTTTAATTTACGCATAATATAATTTATATTTCCGCATAAATTTGCTTATATTTAAGCATAATTTAATTTATAACTCTGTAATTTATAAGGGTCATTCCGTATAGTCGCGGTCGTGACATTACTGCAAAAGGTGAAAATATAAGAAAGGAACTTAATAAACTTTTTTTTTGGTAATGTTTACATTTGATCACGTACTACTATCTGAAAAATTTGCAGTAAATTTTATGCTATAATTGTATCGCTATGTCA